TCACCACGCCCAGCTAATTTTGTATTTTTAGTAGAGACAGGGTTTCTTCATGTTGGTCAGACTGGTCTCGAACTCCTGACCTCAGGTAATCTGCCTGCCTTGGCCTCCCAAAATGCTGGGATCACAGGCGTGAGCCACTGCACCCAGCCCAGTGGTACACTTTTTAAGGATCCAACAACATAAGGGCCCTTTTAACCTGCCCAACAACGTATCCTTTAGAGAGCAGTCACCCTGTTTCATCCCAGACTCCAGACCCAGAAAGGCTGGAGAGGACATTGGAAAATCTATAGACTCAATTACGGCTCTGGATGTCCCCACTGGTTCCAGTTGGAACCAGGCCTCAGTCTGAATCCCAGCACTTATTTCGATTCTAATCTGCTTTCCAAAGGCCTTGAGATATCCAGTAGTCACTCTAAACCACCCTAAACATAAAGCAGAGAATTCTCTAACTCTCCAGTGCAATATTCCTTGATATACACCAGTACCTATCCAACTGCTCTATTTCATGAAGAAACTGGGACTCAGAAGGCTGTGACTTGCTGAAGGTCACAGCGGCAGAGCTGGGTGGACTGCACCTTATTTCCCTGGCCCCCTGTTCATGCAAATGCTGATATCTTATCTCCCTCCGTCTCCGGAAATCTCCCTCTGCACACTTCTATCTTACACTCTGGGAGACCAAGGCATCTTTAGCCGCCAAAACAATGCTCAAAGAAAGAAAAGTATGAGTAGAAACACCTGGAAGCTGGTTTGGTTCGACCTTCTAATGGTACACATAGCGGAAACCGAGGCCCAGGGAATAAGAGGGTCTTGCCTAGAGTCACATAGGGAGCCAGTTCTAGGCCACCACTCTCAAGGTTGCCTCAAATTTTGGGGATGACTTGTGGACTTGTGTGCAGTTTTTCCTTTCTGTTGCTTCAGATCACAAGTGCTCCTCTCTCTGCCCATTATACGAACAACTAAAGTTTATTATTTTTTATTTATTTATTTTTTTAGAGACGGAGTCTCGAGTCTCCCTCTGTCGCCCAGGCTAGTGTGCAGTGGCGCGATCTTGGCTCACTGCAACCTCCGCCTCCCGGGTTCTGGCAGTTCTCCTGCCTCAGTTTCCCAAGTAGCTGGGACTACAGGCGCACGCCACCACACCTGGCTAATTTTTTGTATTTTAGTAGAGACAGGGTTTCACCGTGTTGCCCAGGCTGGTCTCGAACTCCTGAGCTCAGGCAATCCACCCACCTCCCACAGTGCTAGGATTCCAGGCGTGAGCCACCGCGCCCGGCCTAAAGCTTATTTTTGATGTGTATGTGGAAAGAGGGGAGAGGAGTCCCCCAAGATGGGAACCTAGCGCCACCCAACACAAGGTCGGCCCTCATAACCGCTCTCGGCTTCGGCCAAAGGGCGCAGGTTGCCCGCTCCCAGTCTGCCGCTTAGCCCCTTTCTCCCACCTCAGGCTGAGTACCCACCGGCGGGCTCGGGGGCTGGAGTTGGGGCCGGCGGGAACGCGGAGCTGGCGGGTGTGAGCAGCCTCCGAGCCCTCCCCCGCCTCCGCCCCTAGCAGCAGGCGCACGTTGCTAGGGTGGGAGTGCTGACGAAAAGCCTCCGGGCACCCTCGCCGGCAGCCGAACCGCAGTTCCGCTAGCATAAAGCTGGGACGGAACTGAGCGCCCGGTGCTACTTTCTTCGTGTAACAATGCACTGATGAGGTCCAGGGAAGAGGACGCTTGTGCCCAGGACCACGTTGCCAGAAGAATCTAGACAATCCAAGGAAAGCGGGTACCTTTGTAATAGCTATGGAGAAAGCACTTAATAAAGGTCGTCTTTTAAATTATTAGTCGCTCAGATATACATGTTGCCGTGTTTCTTTGGAGTTTCCCTGATTTCGACTAGAAATTCCTCCTTTGGACACTCTCCCAGCCCCCCACTCCTCTATCCCTTTCATTTTTTTTTTCATCGAGCCGTTACAGCCTAGTACCATAGCAAGAAGAGACCCCTCAGTAACTTCTTGAGATCCGAATGGGAAGACAGTTGTAGAAACTAACAGTTTTTGGCCGGGCGCGGTGGCTCAAGCCTGTAATCCCAGCACTTTGGGAGGCCGAGACGGGCGGATCACGAGGTCAGGAGATCGAGACCATCCTGGCTAACACGGTGAAACCCCGCCTCTACTAAAAAATACAAAAAACTAGCTGGGCGAGGTGGCGGGCGCCTGTAGTCCCAGCTACTCGGGAGGCTGAGGCAGGAGAATGGCGGGAACCCGGGAGGCGGAGCTTGCAGTGAGCTGAGATCCGGCCACTGCACTCCAGTCTGGGAAACAGAGCGAGACTCCGCCTCAAAAAAAAAAAAAAAGAAAGAAACTAACAGTTTTTACAGCTGTAGTCTCTTTGCTTCCAGACTGGAGTCTATTCATCTCCGTATTCCTGGTGCACAGTATGGGGCTTGGTATATAGTAGGGGCTTGTTGAATGTTTGTTGAATTAATGAATGAATGGCAGGTATCCTAGCCAACATTTATTTATTTACTTATTTATTTACTAGACAGAGTCTTGCTCTGTCGTCCAGGCTGAAGTGCAGTCATGTGATCTGGGCTCACTGCAACTTCTGCCTCCCAGGTTCAAGCGAGTCTCCTGCCTCAGCCTTCCAAGTAGCTGGGACTACAGGTGCAGGCCTCCATGCCCAGCTAATTCTTCTATTTTCAGTAGAGATGGGGTTTCATCATGTCGGCCAGGCTGGTCTCGAACTCCTGACCTCAGGTGATCCACCCACCACAGCCTCCCAAAGTGCTGGGATTACAGGCATGAGCCTCTGCGCCTGGCCTTAACATTTATTTTGAACCCTAGTAGGTGCCTTTGCAGTGTTGATCTGGCAAAACAGCCTTCGATGAAGATTTGTGGAGCTTCTGAAAATTGGGTGCCTTTGAGGATGTGGGAGTGGTGAGAGAAGTTTGCCTCCACATACTGGCGATTGGGTCTGTTTTCCAATCCAGGGAAGGGATCCCCTCCATGGCATCCCTGATGGGGTATCTGTATCCCTAGTTGATGCTTGCTCTGTGATGATGCACTCATTACTTTCTAAGCTAGTGACCTATTGTTGGGAGATTTCCCTCTGGCAGGAGAATGTATCTACCCCTATGCCACCTGAAACTCTGATCTTCGTTCAGAGTCGATGGCTCTCCTTACAGACTTAATCCCTTTTCCCCACAACAGCTGGGCAAGCCACAACCAGGATAGACTTACTGCTTTGTCCTGGGACTCTGGGCTAGGCTCAGTGCAGCTACAGAGTTGAGTTACTAGATCTCTGCCCCCAAGATGTTCCTGCTCTGGGAATGTTCTTCCCTCTGAGAGAGAGGCTTTAGGTTTAAGGCATGAAAGACTCCCAAACTGGTACCTGTAGTCAGGCCTCTCCCTGAGCCGCACCTGTATATCCACCTGCCACCCGCCCATCTGCAACTGGCTATTTAAAAGACACCTCATTCTTGACATGACTCATACTGGAAACATCATCATCTTCCCCCCAAACCTGTTCCCCCTCTTTTCCCACTAAGTGCTGGGCACTACCATTCACCAGTCACCCAAGTTAAGGATCTAGGAGTCATTTGTAACTTTACCCCCGCTTCCTTGTTCAAGAACAACCCTCGAGACTTCTCAATTCTGCCTCCCAAACATTATAAAAATAAAAATCTGTTCACTTCTCTCTACCTACTACCGGGATTCAGGCCAACATCAGGGTGTGATAGATTAAAAACGACCACAACTTCTTTGTAGCTCTTCCCGTTAAGGCTGGCTTTGTAACTTGTTTTGACCAATAGAATGGAGCATGAGTGACATTGTGGGACTTCTTGAGTTTAAGCTACAAAAGGCCTTGCAGTTTCTGCTCCTATCCTCTTGGAACACTGCCAGCATTGGAAGAGGACCAGGCTAGTCTGTTTGAGAGACATGGCCCATCCAGTAGCTAGCACCAAATGCCAGCCATGTAAGTGACTTGCCCAGGCTGGAGTGCAGTAGTGCAATCTCGGCTCACTGCAACTTCCGCCTCCTCAGTTCAAGCGATTCTCCTACCTCAGCCTCCTAAGTAGCTGGGATTACAGGCATGCACCACCACACCTGGCTAATTCTTGTATTTTTAGTAGGGACAGGGTTTCACCATGTTGGTCAGGCTGGTCTCGAACTCCTGATCTCGTGATCCGCCCGCCTCAGCCTCCCAAAGTGCTGGGATTATAGGTGTGAGCCGCTGCGGCTGACTCAGTGTTATAATCTTATGGGACCACCAGGTACATGCAGTCCATCATTGATCAAAACGTTATTATGCAGCATATGACTTTATCCTCAGCTTAGAGGCCATTTCCCTCTCTACGCCCCAAGTCTTCCCTAACCCTTTCTCCCCTTCTCCAGACTGGGTTAACTATTCTTCTTCTATGCTTCCAAAACTCCCACACTTTCCACCACATAGTATAACTTTTCATTTACTTCTCTCTCTCATTCAACTGCAAGCAACAGAGGCAGTGACTGAGTCTCATTTACACTTGTATGGTTGGTGTCTAACCCAGGGTCTGGCACCATACTACAATAGAACTTTCTGCAATTATGGCAATGTTCTATACTTGCATTGTCTAACACACTAATCACGAGCCCTACTAACTATTGAGCACTTGAAATGTAGCTAGTTCAACTGAAGAACTGAATTTTAAATGTTATTTATTTTAATTAAATTTAAATAGCCACATGGGGCTAGTGGCTATGGTATTGAACAGTGTAGGGCTGGCACATGGTAGATGGCCATTGAATATTTTTGAACAAAGATTAAAAGAGAAAGACAGTCATGACAGACAGTTAGGACATGACAGAATGCTATGGGTATAAGCAACATAATTTCATGTCGACCTCTCCTGGCTCCTCACTTCACATCCCCTCAACTTTACACTACCAGTGTCTTTGTCTTAGTCCATTTTGTGCTGCTATAACAGAATACTACAGACTGGGTAATTTATTATGGACAGAAATGGATTTGGCTCACGGTTCTGGAGACTGGGAAGTCCAAGATGGAGAGGCTGCATCTGGTGAGAGCCTTCTTGCTGCATTATGACATGGTGGAAGACATCACATGGTGACGTGCAGGAGCTAGAGAGGGAAGGGGACAGACTTATCCTTCTATCAGGAACCCACTCCCACAATAACATCATTAATCCATGCATGAGGTCAGAGCCCTCATGATCTAATCACCTCTTAAAGGCCCTACCTCTCAACACTATTACAATGGGAATTCAGTTTCCAACACATGAACTTTGGGGGACACGTTCAAGCCACAGCAGCCTGTGGCTCTGCCTTGTTTAAATATAATCCTAGTTTTTGGCTCTTTATGGCCTGAGTTGGTTGTTCTCTCCTGGACTTGCCCAGATTGATAACATCGCTCCTGTGAAGTGGGCTGGTCTAAGGAGCCCTCTAGAGAAGAGAGCTGTTCTCCTCTAGTTCAGTCTGGCTGAGCAGAGAGGACTCTGTCATTGGAAGACTTGGACTTCACCATAGAGGACCCATGTGATCTGAATTTGTCTGCATGGCAGGCTGCCAAATCCCTCTTAAAAGTGATGGTTAAAGCTGGCTGTACTGTGAAAATACCCCAGGAGGAAAAGAAGCCACAGTGTTAGTAGTCTTATTGCTATTCCTGGAAACCATGCAAACTCCAGTCAGATGACTTCCAGTCCTGGCACCAGAGATATTGGATCAGTGTCTGAGAAGGAAGGAGGAATGGACACAGGCCCAGGCAGAAGGGGGCTGGGCTGGGCCAGGCCAGGGCCCCACCAGGCAGGCAGAAAAGGCTGGGCCTGACACCGAGCAGAAGGCCTAAGGGAAAGTAAAGGCTAGGGAAGAATAGTCCTTTCCAAAAGACTTTCCAAAATGTTCATTACAATAAAAAAGTTTAGGCCAGGCCTGGTGGCTCACACCTGTAATCTCAACAATTTGGGAGGCTGAGGTGGGAGGATCACTTGAGGCCAGGAATTTGAGACTGGTCTAGCAACATAGCAAGACTCAGGTCTCTACAGAAGTTTTTTTTATGGTTTTGTTTTTTCTTTTTTTTTTTTTTTTTTTTGAGATATAGAGTCTCGCTCTATCCCCCAGGCTGGAGTGCAGTGGCGCTATCTCGGCTTACTGCAAGCTCTGCCTCCCAGGTTCATGTCATTCTCCTGCCTCAGCCTCCCGAGTAGCTAGGACTTCAGGTGCCCGCCACCACTCCCAGCTAATTTCTTTCTTTCTTTTTTTTTTTTTTTTTTTTGTATTTTTAGTACAGACAGAGTTTCACTGTGTTAGCCAGGATGGTCTCAATCTCCTGACCTCCTGATCTGCCTGCCTCGTCTTCCCAAAGTGCTGGGATTACAGGTGTGAGCCACTGTGCCTGGCCCAGAAGTTATTTTTTTTTTAAGTTTTTTAGAAAAGATCCAAACCAAATGTTATAAATGAGCAAGTGAAAGGGCAGGTTAGAGAGCAGGTTGTACACATAATCCCAATCTTACAAAATAAATACGTTCCAGCTTGTATCATATAGTGGGAGCTAAGGAATGCTTTAACCTATGTGTGAGGACCTGTAAGTATATTTGTAGCAGGTTTTCACACATTGTAAATCATGTGAGGTTCTTTGAAGATTGGGGAGCAGAGTTGATGGTACAGAAAAACGTCTTGCACTTGCTAGTCCTCTGCCTGGAAAGCTCCTCCCCAGATGTTTTCATGCCTTGCTTTTTCCAGTGTCACTTACCTGAAAGGCCTTCTACACCATCCTTTCTACACCAGCACCTCCATCATGCATTTTTTCCTGTAATACTTGGATCTTTTTCATAGCCCTTATCATTACTGACATTATATTACATATCCATTTGTTGCATTTTATTTGTTCATGAAAGTAGACTTTGTTCTTCTTGACCGTTGTATCCCCAGTGTCGAAGGCCAGGGGCTCAATAAATCTGTTGAATGACTAAAATGTAACAAAGGTGTCCATTCTTCTCTCCCTAGCTCAGAGTGCCTGAAGTTCAAATACAGCCCTGCCCGTGCCCATGAAGCCTCCAGAGGTCCCCTAAGAGCTCTAAGCAGCTTTCAAACTTTTTTAACCTCATAAAGAAATACATTCATTCTCCACAGTGCATATATATGTATATGTAGGCCAAAGACAAAATTACAACAAATGTAGTTAAGTGACCTTATTGGCTTTTATTAGCACTTCTAGAATCAGGCAATACCTCGTTCTATAAAACAGAATATTCCAATGAGCTGAACAGAGGAGATGGGCTTTATAGGTAGAAAAGAGCTGGGGGGGGGAACAACAACAGAAATAAGGGGGGAAAAAAAAAGAGGATTGCTCATTTCAAAGTTAATTTCCTTTCAGGGTTAAAACAGAGAGGACTTCCTTATCATTCCAGCTAATTCTGTACTGTTTGGGGATTTTAATATGCTCTGTCTTTCTCTTTTCTCTCCCAATTTCTTGGAAGTTCAGATAAACAACTTAGTTTTGGTTTGGTGAAGTAGAAATTTAGCATGAGTAACTCCATTTTGTTTTGGTCTGGTCTGGTGGGGCCTAGTGTGGAAGCCCAGTACCAAACAATGGCCTTCCATTCATTTTGTTTAACTATATACAGATAATTGAAAGAACAACAAAAACCTCACTAAGAGCATGTTTTCTGTTTTCTTCTTCATTCTTTTCTTTTTTCTTTTTTCCTTTTTTGGAGACAGAGTCTCACTCTGTCACCCACCGCCCAGGCTGGAGTGCAATGGCGCAATCTCGGCTCACTGCAACCTCTGCCTCCTGGGTTCAAGCGATTCTTCTGCCTCAACCTCCCAAGTAGCTAGGACTACAGGCATGTGCCATCATGCCTGGCTAGTTTTTATATTTTTGGTAGAGACGGAGTTTCGCCATGTTGGCCAGGCTGGTCTCCAACTCCTGACCTCAGGTGATCCACCCTCCTCGGCCTCCCAAAATGCTGAGATTACAGGCGTAAGCCATTGTGCCCGGCCTTTTCTTTCTTTTTATAAAAGATGCCGATATCCACCCCTTGAATTTATTGATATGCCACCTAATAAAGCATTGCCACTGCCTTAGGGCAGTGTTTCTAGAAACAGTCAAGGGGCTCCTTTGCAACCTAGTCAAGGAGTGACTGCCACAAATGCAGCTTCTTGGCTTCATCCCAGACTTAATGGATGAAAATCTTACTGGAAAGTCTGCGTGTTTTACAACTCCTCCTCTTTCCCCTCCTGACCATCCGCTGTCCTCCAACAATTCTGAAGCCTGATAAAGCTTAAGAGCCACAACCAGGGAGATTATGAGTATCCCAGATGTGTCCTGCAGGGCTTGATGAACAGATAGGGAAAGGGCGATTCTCCAGTTCCAGTCCAACTTGGCTCACAAGTGGTGAAACAGAGGAACATGACTTGATAAAAGTAAATCCACTCCTACCTTAGCCCTTTGCATTTGCTGAGACCTCTGCCTGAAAGCAACTCTGGTGATTTAGGGGCTGTTTTCCAGATCCTGGACCTGGTAGGGCCAATGACTGCTCTAGGACCACACCCAGTGAAAGCCCCCGACCCCAACTTTCCCTAAGGATTTTAACCCTTGTTCCTCCCCTCTGCCTTCCACAATCTCTTTTCTTTTCTTTTTTTTTTTTTTTGAAACAGAGTCTTGCTCTGTTGCCCTGGCTGGAGTGCAGTGGTGTGATCTCAGTTCACTGCAACCTCCGCCTCCCAGGTTCAAGCGATTCTCATGCCTCAGCCTCCCCAGTAGGTAGGATTACAGGCACGCGCCACCACGCCTAGCGAATTTTTGTGTATTTAGTAGAGACGGGGTTTCACCATGTTGGCCAGACTGGTCTCAAACTCCTCAAGTGATCTGCCTGCCTCGGACTTCCAAAGTGCATGAGCCACTGCTCCCGGCCACATAACCTCTTTTATTTTTAGCCTTCACACAGTCGGACGCGATGGCTCACGCCTGTAATCCCAGCACTTTGGGAGGCCGAGGCGGGTGGATCATGAGGTCAAAAGATCGAGACCATCCTGGCTAACATGGTGAAACCCCGTCTCTACTAAAAATACAAAAAAATTAGCCGGGTGTGGTGGTGGGCACCTGTAGTCCCAGATACTTGGGAGGCTGAGGCAGGAGAATGGTGTGAACCCAGGAGGCAGAGCTTGCAGTGAGCCGCACAAAAAGCACCTCCTGTTTTCTTTGTTTCACCATAGGGTTTAATAATTCCCCATCCCCAGTCCTTAGAAGGAACAAATGGTAACCACAATCTCTAATTACCGTGGCCTATTTCCCTCCCCACCCCCAGAGGAGGGTAGATGCTGTTATGAGGCCATCACCCTCCCACTGGGATGCACTGGAAACTTCTTTTGATGCCAGGAACGCAGCACCCCTGTCGCCAAAGAACCTCACACAATTTACATTCCGAAACCCGCTACAACTATATTTACGGATCCTCACGCATATAATAAAAACGTTTATTATCCCCTAGTGTATATCAGACACCCAAACTGAACACTTTGCAGACAAGATCTCATTTCATTCTTGAAGGAGCCCGCTAAGGTAGATAGTATTATTATCACCTCTATTGTAGAGATAAGAAAGCAGACACAGAAGATGTAAGTAACCTGACCAAGATCTCATAGCTGTAAGCTGTGTAGCCAGGATGAAACCAATAACTGTATTTCACTCTGCGTCCTCTCTAGTCATATGGTGTAATATTTTCTATCTGGGGTGACAATGTGTCCCCAATGGATGATGACACCACTGTGTGCTGCTCTGGTAGCTCTGGAGCTGTTAGCTGCCCTTACCCCTCAGGGGCTAAAGCAGTAGTGGCTGAGAAGGAAGGGGTTCTATCTCCTTTGTGTAGCCATTGCTTAGAGAAGCTTCAGAGTAGAGGTGCTAGAGCCCCTGTGAGCTATGTGATGTAATGTTTCTCTTTCAGTTTAGCTCCCGCCTGTGTTCAGTTCTGATGCACTCAGAGTACTTACTCTCTGACACCTAAAGGCCTGGGCCCTTCCCCTTTTGAGAGAGTGCCCAGCTTTCTGCCAAGACCCCTAAGAAATAATTTGGGGTTGGTGGCCAGGTGCGGTGGCTCACACCTGTAATCCCAGCACTTTGGGAGGCTGAAGCGGGAGGACGGCTTGAGCCCAGGAGTTTGAAATCAGCCTGGGCAACACGGCAAAACCCTGTCTCTACAAAAAATACAAAGCTTAGCTGGGCATGGTGGCACGTGCCTGTAGTTCCAGCCAGTCAGGAGACTGAGGTGGGAGGATCACTTGAGCTGGGGAGGTCGAGGTTGCAGTGAGCTATGATTGCCCCACTGCACTCCAGCCGGGGTGACACAGTGAGACCCTATCTCAAAAAAAGAGGAAGAAAAAAGAATTTAGAGTTGGAGAGCAGCGTTCTCCTTGTATGCGCAGACAGAAGAGACTGGATCCCCAGCAGAGGGCTCAAGGTAGGCTCAGACTAATATATAAGATCCTAGAGGGGAAAGCCCTAAACAGCTGAGGTACCTGTTAGCAGTTTTTCTTTCTGGGGTGGGGGTGGGTGGATTTTTCTTCCACGTGCTTATTTTCATATTTTGTTTGCTTCAAAATAAAAACGCGTTACTTTTTTTCAATGCTAGTTTAAAAAGAAAACTCAGGCTGGGCGCGGTGGCTCAAGCCTGTAATCCCAGCACTTTGGGAGGCCGAGACGGGCGGATCACGAGGTCAGGAGATCGAGACCATCCTGGCTAACACGGTGAAACTCCGTCTCTACTAAAAAAATACAAAAAAAAAAAACTAGCCGGGCGAGGTGGCGGGCGTCTGTAGTCCCAGCTACTCGGGAGGCTGAGGCAGGAGAATGGCTTGAACCCGGGAGGCGGAGCTTGCAGTGAGCTGAGATCTGGCCACTGTGCTCCAGCCTGGGCCACAGAGCGAGACTCCATCTCAAAAATAAATAAATAAATAAATAAATAAAATAAAAAATAAAAAGAAAACTCAAATATTCAAATTCAAAAAAATTGGATGTAAATACTTTGAGAAAATCAGCTTAATACAGATGTTTCTCACTGGGCCTCAATGTTCCATTTAAAAAATTATTAATTATAGTAACCTTAAGTCACACTGCGTAGGTTCCAATCTCATGGCTACCAATTAGTAACTGTGACCCTTGGCAAGCCACTTTCATAAAAATGGGATCCTAATAGTGCTTTCCTCGCACTATTAGTAGACACTTAGCGATGGCAGCTGCTGTGTTGCAGATATTGTTTTACGTATTTAGCGCATTTACTCCTCAGTCGTCTGGGAGACAGGTACTCTCACCCCATTTTACAGCTGTGGTTCCCACCCAGTGAACAGCCAAACAGGATCTGAGCTCAGGCAGTTTGTCAGCACAGCCTTGCTTGAAGCTAGGCAGCTAAAGCTGCCTCTCAAAAAGGGCAGTGGTCGGGATTACATAACAGAACGCTTGCAAAGTTCTCAGCGAAAGCCTGCCACTTAGTAAGTGCTCAATAAAGTTTTTTTCCTACGGTCACACTAATATTTGGAGTTTTATGTTTGTTGTAGAACAAATACGCATACAATCGCGATTTCATTCAACAAAGAATTTAAAGAGACCTGCTGTGCTGCCCTGGGCGGGATGGGAACGCGGGTGGGGTGGGAGGAGGCGCAGCGGCGGGGCGCGCTGGCGCACGGGGAGGGCCGGGGGCGGGGTCAACCAGGCCCCGCCCACAGCCACCTGCGACAGGTGGAGCGCACGGCGCGGGAGCACGGCCATGTCCGCCGAGGGCGCGGAGCCGGGGCCCGGGTCCGGTCCCGGGCCGGGGCCTGAGCCGGGGCCACTCTGCCCCGAACACGGCCAGACTCTGAGCTGGTTCTGCCGCTCCGAGCGACGGCCCGTGTGCGCCGCCTGCGCGGGGCTGGGCGGTCGCTGCCGGGGGCACCGCATCCGCCGGGCGGAGGAGCGCGCCGAGGAGCTGCGGGTGAGCGGGCGTGGGTGCCGGAAGGCGAGGGCTCTGGAGGGACTGGGCGCGCCTGGCGGGACCCGGCAGGGACTGGGGAGCCTGGGGCTTGGCGGACACGACAGCCGGCCCCGGAGCCCAGGCTCCTCTGTGGCTTTGGCTGTAGGACCAGGCGGTTAAGGGTGTGGCCTCTGAAGTCAGGCTGGCGTGAGTTCGAATCCACTCCCTGTGAGTCACGTAACTGAGCCTCAGTGTCTTCATCTGTAGTTTGGGGACAACAACAATAGTACTAGCGCGTATTTATTAGAGTTGTGAGGTATAAATAAGATAGTGGGTAAAATGCTTAGCGATAAGGGGATCCAGGCTCCCCAGGCCCCTTCCATTGCTCTGTTGTGGGAGCTGGGGCTGGCATAGGACAATGAAAGTCTCAGCTGCTCCAGTTCTCAGCGCAAGGTGTGCCCCAGCTCCTGCCCCTGTGGAAACTGACACTGATAAAATCCAGCGCGTCCTTATCCCTTAACCCCTGGACTCAAAGCCCTCCTCCTTTCTCCTCTTTCCCCTGCTCCTGCTGCCTTCTGGCGTCTGGTGCGGTGATCTTTTTCCCTTTCAGGATTGGCCTTGAGTGTACTTCAAGCTGGTTTAAGGGTTTCAGCTGGATAAACGCAGGGAATAGGGAGAATATCAGGGGACTCCCCTTCACCCAGGCTTTCTCCCCACCTCCACTTTCCCCTCGGCTCCAGGATGATCCTTGTCATCGCCATTCTCCTGAGCTGCTGAGACTGGAAGAGTCGGAGTCACCTTGGGGCTTCTCTGTGGCCCCTGGGGATTTCCTTGCAATTTGATTAAACAGCTTGTTTCTCCCAACTCCACTCTGGAGTTCAGCCCTGCTGTGAAGCCTGAGGGCTCTCGCTGGGGACTTCACCTACTCAGAGTGACCTGTAATAAACACATCTTATATAGGGTGCTGGGCTTGGGAGGGGTTCAGTTTTTCAGCAACCCCCAAAAGTTCCTGGTTGGTCCTACCTGTTACCTCTATTAACAATAATGATGACGAAGATAAACCTGGATAATGCGGTGTAATCAACTTGCATAACAGACAAAAACTGCAAACTCCAAAGTACTTAAATGTCTGTCATCTCATTCTGTCTTGACCACGCCTTTGAAGGGGTCCTACTTACATTTTACAGATGAGGCACCTGAGGCCCAGAACAAGGCAGTAACTCCTCCAAGCTTCCTAATGTTCAGGGGTGGGACCCAGGGAGTCACTGACTAGGCAAGAGGAAACTGCTGCTTTGCTTCGGCGGTTGGAGGGAGGAAGTGATGCTAATGGGGGTGAGAATGTCATGGAAACCTTAAAAGTAGCTATCAGGACTGGATTTGAGTGGTGGAAAGAGTGAAGCCTGGGGCAGGTGGCAGGCCTGGTGCTAGTTTCGGTTGTACTCTACCCCAGGGAGCCTTCTTTGAACCCCTCTGAGGCCCTATGCATATTTATCTCCTTTGCCTGAAGGGAGGTGGGTCTTACCCTCTCTTCCTCTGTATTAGAGTAGATTTCTGTATTTTGCACATTCCTTCCTCTATCCATCCAGTCAGCAAATAAATCTCACCCTAGGGCAAGATTGTTACCAAAACCAGCACCAGTTCTACTGCTCTCCTACCTCTGGATTCCTGCCCTGTGGTTTTTCAGAAGCCTTCTCAGTGCTCTCAATCCATGGTGCATGGTGATCACAGCTTCCTCCTAGTCAACTCAGTTCTGTAACTTTGTATTTGGACCTGTGAAATGTAAGACTAATTTCTACTTCTGAGTGGAAAGATTTACAAGGGCTTCCTGGAAGAGGTAGCTAAGTTGACTTTTGGCAGATGGAACTGAGGCAGAACTATTAGGGGAAACAGTGGAGGGACTGTTGCTTGGACAGGCTTTAGGTATTACCTGGAGAAAAGGAGAGCAAAAGCAGGGCCCTGGCCCATACCTTCTCGGGGAAGTCACAAGTCACTTTTCTTTGGGCCTCAGCTTTCCCATTTCTTTTTCTTTCCTTTTTTTTTTTTTTTTTTTTTTTTTTTTTTTTTTTTTTTTTTTGAGACAGTCTCACTCTGTCGCACAGGCGTGAGTGTGGAGTGCAGTGGCACTCTTTCAGCTCACTGCTACCTCTGTTTCCTAGATTCAAGAGATTCTTCCCACCTCAGCCTCCCGAGTAGCTGGGACTACAGGCGCATGCCACTACGCCCACCTAATTTTTGTATTTTTTGGTAGAGATGGGGTTTTACCATGTTGGCCAGGCTGGTCTCGAACTCCTGATCCCAGGTGATCTGCCCACCTCAGCCTCCCGCAGTGTTGGGATTACAGGTGTGAGCCACCGTGCCTGGCCAGCTTTCCCATTTCTAAAACTCCCCTGAGCTCATGGATGATGCTGATAGCTTTGAGAGCCTTGAACTGCTGAACCTCTTGTGGTCAAGGCAGTGGGTGTTCATTTATTCATTCAACAAACATTTATTCAGGGCCTTCTATGTTCAGAAACTCTCTTTGCGGTACTAGGACATAGAGAAGTCAGACTTATGGTGCTTCTGTTTCAGTGGTGGGAGAGACAGATACCCCAAAAGGTAAACAAACACATAATATATATTCAGAGAGTTATAAGTGCAAGGGAGAAAAATAAAGCAAAGTAAGAGATTGGGTGAGGAAGGAGATGGTCAGTGAAGACCTATCTGAAAAGGTGACATCTGAATGGAGTTGGGGAGTGAGACACACACACACACACACAGACTGGTGGAAACGGTACAACAGGTGCAAAGGCACTGAGGTCAGGTCAAGTTTGGTGCATTTAAGGAACAGAAAGAAGGCCAGTGGCCAGGCGCAGTGGCTCATGTCTGTAATCCCAGCACTTTAGGAGGCCGAGGCAGGCGGATCACGAGGTCAGGAGATCGAGACCATCCTGGCCAACATGGTGAAACCCCGTCTCTACTAAAAATACAAAAAATTAGCCCGGCATGGTGGCAGGTGCCTGTAGTACCAGCTACTCGGGAGGCTAGGCAAGAGAATGGCGTGAACCCGGGAGGCGGAGCTTGCAGTGAGCCGAGATCGTGCCACTGCACTCTAGACTGGGTGACAGAGCAAGACTCTGTCTAAGGGAAAAAAAAAAAAAAAAAGGAAGGCCAGCGTGGAGAGAGGTAGAAGGTGATGTTGGAGAAATAAGCTGAGTCACATCAGGTAGGGCTAGGTTGGCTAAGCTGAGAAGCCTGATGTCATTGTGAGTGTACTGAAAGCCATTGGAGGGTTTTGCATAGGGGCATGACCTGGTCTGATTTCCTTACAAAAGGTGGCTCTGGCTAGTTGGGGGGTTGGGGGTGCAGAGTACCCAGTTAGGAGGTTCTAACAGTGGTTCCTGTGAGAGATCATGGCAATCTGGATAGAATAACTGGAGTAGAGGTGACCAGAGGAGAGAGAGAGACTTTGGAGATGGGGTTGATAGGACTCACTAATGGAATTGATGTGGGGTTGGAGACAAACTCCTAGGTTTTAGGTCTGGATAACAGGTGAATGATTGATGGTGCTGCTTAATGAATGGGGATAACTTGGGGGAGAGCAGTTCTGGACAGAACAGAAGATATGGACAGTCAGGGACCTGTCTGTATGACCAAGAGTGTGTGCACCAGAAAGTGATTATAATGGGCTGAGCATGGTGACTTATGCCTGTAACATCCCAGCACTTTGAGGGGCTGAGGTGGGAAGATTGCTTGAGCCCAGGAGTTGGAGACCAACCTAGGCAACATAGCAAAAGTCCATCTCTACAAAAAATGCAAAAATTAGCCAGGTGTGGTGGCACGTGCCTGTAGTTCTAGCTACTCAGGAAGGACATGGGAGGATCACTTGGGCCTGGAAGGTCAAGGCTGCAGGGAGCCTTGATCATGCCACTGCATTCAGCCTAGACGACAAGCAAGACTCTATCTCAAAATCAATACGTAAATAAATTTAACAAGAAACAAATGGCCAGGTGCGGTGGCTCACGCCTGTAATCCCAGCACTTTGGGAGGCCAAGGCGGGCAGATCACCTGAGGTCTGGAGTTCGAGACCAGCCTGGCCAACATGGCGAAACCCTGTCTCTACTAAAAATACAAAAAGTAGCTGGGCGTGGTGACACACACCTGTAGTCCCAGCTACTTGGGAGGCTGAGGCAGGAGAATCGCTTGAACCTGGGAGGTGGAAGTTGCAGCGAGCCAAGATTGCACCACTGCACTCCAGCTTGGGCAACCAAGTGAGACTCTGTCTCAAAAAATAAATAAATACATACATACATACATACATACATACATAAAATTAAATAAAAATAAACACAAGACAAAATGGACTTTAAGGCAAACGTACTACTAAAGATAAAGTCACTTAGAGAATGTGCAGTTCACCAGCAACATAAAATGATTCTAATCTTAAATGTTTCTAAATAATGTAGCCTGAGAATGTTCATAAAGGAAAAATTTGTTTTAAAGTTATTATAATGATAGGCTGGGGTTCTGGGATAAAGACAGAAGTCAGGTCACAGAAGGGGATGATGGACAGTGAAAGGTGTTCCTACTAATGTGTTGGTGGCCTCAACTGAGCTGTTGCTGGAATAGGGATCCTGGAATTAGGGAGTGAGAAGGACAGGGCATGGTGGGGAGAGTGTGGATCCTTGAAGTGGAGATTTAGGAGGTGGTGCAGTTTTTGATAATCATGAGATCTGGGCTATGACCATGGGAGTAGGTGGCTGAGGTGTGGTAACAGGAGAAAATCACTGGGATGGAGTGAATGGCTCAGGTACATGGACCAAGATGCCATGAGCGTTGTTTGTGTTGCAGAACAAGATTGTGGACCAGTGTGAGAGGCTGCAGTTACAAAGTGCTGCCATCACCAAGTATGTGGCGGACGTCCTGCCAGGGAAGAACCAAAGAGCAGTGGTAATTCCTCTTCTTTCCTCTCTACTCGGCCCCCTTAGACTTACGGACCTGGGCAAGTCTAGGGTCCCTTACCAACCTCACAGACTCATTGTGCTACTAGCAAAGCTTCCAATCCCTCAGAGACTCAGTTTTGCCATCTGGGCAGGGTGGACTTGTTCCTGTACCATACTTGGTGCAAAGACTCTGCTAAGCAAATGACTTTCTTGGGTATCTTGGCAGAGGGGATCAAGAAAGGTCGTATTCACCTACCATCTAGTCATTTTCTGCCCAGCTCCAGAATTATAAAATAACCTAGGACTTTTACATTGAATATTCTCTGTGACAATCTTATGAAGTAGGTAGCAATAACATTCCCATTTACAAATAGGAAAATGGGTCCTTATAGAGGTTAAAGAGGTGAACTGACCTGCCCAAGGCCGCCTCCTGGCAGTGGGTTCCGTGACCTGGATCTTCTGTCTCCCAGGCTAGTGCTCCTTCTGCTACATCCCACTGATGATCCTTTTTTTTCTTCTTTTTGAGACAGGGCTTCACTCTGTCACCCAGGCTGGAGTGCAGTAGCACAATCTTGGCCCACTGTAACCTTTGCCTCCCTGGTTTCAAGCAATTCTCCTGCCTCAGCCTCCCAAAGCTCTGGGATTACAGGTGCCTGCCACCATGCCTGGCTAATATTTTTAATTTTTATTAGAGACGGGGTTTACCATATTGACCAGGCTCGTCTCAAACTCCTGGACTCAAGCCATCCTCCCTCTTTGGCCTTCCAAGTGCAAGGATTACAGGTGTGAGCTGCTGTGCCTGGCCTCCACTGCAGATTTTTTGTTCAGCAGACTCATGACCACTGCTGTGTCATTACTCTTAAGTATGCGTATCAGGGGAAGAGTCTATGAATTTCTTTCTGCACATCCCCTCCCTCCTTTCCCTATAGTACGTGGAGCAGACTTGGTACCACATTAGTCAGGGTTCTTTTAATTGCATGAAACAGAACCCAGTTGAACGAGCATAAGAAAATGGGGCGTTTCCTGACAGGACACTAGGGGTCCTTTTAGGACCTAAAAGGGGCTAGACTAGGAACCAGAAAGCTGCTAGGAGTCCAGGCAGCTATTTGGTGCCCATCTATGCTTCGCTTTGCATGATGGTCTCCATCTCCCTCCTCTGCCCTCTTCCCCTCTTCTTCCTTATCCTTTTTATTTTATTGTCTTAATGCACTGGTCATGACCTTAGTACTGTGTTAAATAAATAGGAGCTAGTGTAGCAAATCCTGGCTTGCTTTTTTTTTTTTTTTTTTGAGACGGAGTTTTGCTCTTGTCGCTCAGGCTGGAGTGCAATGGCGTGATCTCGGCTCACTGAAACCTCTGTCTCCTAGGTTCAAGCGATTCTCCTGCTTCAGCCTCCCATGTAGCTGGAGTTACAAGCGCCCGCCACCATACCCAGCTAATTTTTTGTATTTTTAGTAGAGATGGAGTTTCACCATGTTGGCCAGGCTGGTCTTGAACTCCTGACCTCAGGTGATCTGCCCGCCTCGGCCTCCCAAAGTGCTGGGATTACAGGCGTGAGCCACTGTGCCTGGCCTGACAAATCCTGACTTTAAGAGGAAAGCTACCAACATGTCACAGTTATTTATTTAACAAATCTTTATTGAGCACCTACCATATGCCAGATACTGTTGTTCAATGGGTTAGGCATTCCCCAGTGAACAAAACAGACATTCCTATTTTCATGAAGCCTACATTCTTGTCACAGAAGAGGGACAGTAACAAATAAAATATATGTTATGTCCAAAGGTGATATGTGCTTTGGGGAAATATAAAACAGAAAGGAGAATAAGACGGATTGCAATTACATGTGCTGTGACCAGGAATGACTTCATCAAGAGGGTCGAGGCTGGGCACAGTGGCTCACGCCTGTAATCCCAGCACTTTGGGAGGCTGAGGTGGGTGGATCACGAGGTCAGGAGTTTGAGACCATCCTGGCTAACAGGTGAAACCCTGTCTCTACTAAAAATAGAAAAAATTAGCAGAACGTGGTGGCGGGCGCCTGTAGT